TTTTAATCTTACATCCTTTATAATCAATTATTCCTGTAATTTTACATTTTTAAAATGTAATGAAATTTTTATTTAATTATGTCAAGTTTATTTTTAATACATAGTATATCCATGAATAACAAATAATTTCAATAAGTCAAGAAATTACAAATTACGTGACTCAGTGCTCACACTCGTCAAAAAACCCGCCCCTGACTGATCCCGGCGCAAAGGTGCCCATCACACTTGCCGCATTTCCTCGCTGTATGGCAATGTACAATCTTTGCGCCAAGAACAATACAGCGCGGGAGTAATTTCCGCTGTCTCTTAGCCATTTTCAATTGTTTTTTAATCATTATTATTTTAGATTATTCTTTGTATCTCATTTGCAAACTATAAATGTTTAGTGCTGTATACACCTGTAGCGAATTGGCACCTTGTATGGTGAACGTATGTATATTTTGTGTTAAGTTGATGGTGTATCTTTAGATAAATAAATAAAATAAATAAATAGGTCCAAAGACACAGATGCCTAAACTATGGAGATAGTCTTTTCTGATATTCTGCCGTAGCTCTTAATGGTTGTGACAGTCAATACAGACAGATAGATAGAAACAGGTATTACGGTAATTGAGTACAACAACCAAGGGTCGGCGGACTAAAGCACATAAGTCAAAATCCAACATCATTCATTTAAATTAATACATCTACTGGCTAAAGCATATAAGTCAAATTCATTTGTTACTTCTCAAATTTCGAACTTTATTCTAGACGTTATTTGACTTCCAATACTAAAAGCAACACAAAAAATATATAATTATATATTAACAAAGGAAGCACTTTTTTGACTTATGTGCTTTAGTCTGCCGACCCTAGCATTATGCCCTGTAATGTCTTAGAATCGTTTGGCATGTTTGTATTGTTATTAATTTGTGTTTTCCTTTGTTGTTAAAATATTACGTGTACTGACTACCTAACAAATAACTTTGACAAAATGACAATGTGAGCGATGTCAATACTTAAGCTTTATTATAGTCTCGAACAAACAAGTCCAAGCTTTTCCTTAACATAATTGATCGAAAAACAGAAATGTTTTAGTCCCTCTTTTATCACGACTAGTGAACATGGCAGCATATCATGTTATCTACAAGTGCTCGTAAGTTGTGATAATAAAATGTCCTAGATACAAGGTATTATTGCCCCAAATAAAAAAAAAAAACAACAAATTTGCGAATTAACACGTTCACAGTCCATGACTCTACTTGCAGTCGCAAATTGGATTCAACCATACCTGTGGAGTCATAACTATATACTAGTTCACTTGTTAAATAATATTTTGGTTGGACTTGTAGAATAAATCGCTGTTTTTTTTAAACTTCTAAATTGGGTAGTCTTTTATATGAATTGTAATTTTCCAAAAATAAAAAAATAAAAAATACAGGGTGTAAATTTGAGACGGCGCAGCAAGGTTAGCCACCTTAATCGTTGTAGTTACAGGAAAACGGTTCTCGAAGACTATCCATGAATTTTGAAGATATTTTGATTGGCATTCATAGATTTTGAAAAAATGGTACAGTTAGCAAGATAAAAGGTAATTTTTATAAAACTTTTTTTATGCCGTTCGATCCGGTCTCTGTTAAGGATCAATAGTCTCTATGCGACCAACAGAGGTAAGAGTACTCGAAATGTCAGAAATCGCAAAAAAATTTTTACCATACATTTTGTAGGAACTTAATTTTAGTAATCAGTTATTCTAGGTAGTTAAGGAAACTAACAAATTGACAACATATTATGTATTAGTTAAATTTTTTCAAAATCTGTGAATGCCAATCAAAATATCTTCAAATTTCATGGATAGTCTTCTAGAACCCATTTCCTGTAACTACAACGATTAAGGTGGCTGGCCTTGCTGTCCCGTCTCAAATTAACACCCTGTATATATAATCTGAGAGTAAAAGACAAAACCAACATTCTTGGTTTTGTCTTCACTCAAATTCTGGTGAACTTAGGGGATTGATTTCGGTTTTTATTTGGGGGACTGTGAACGTGTTTTTGTAAAAGACACACAAATGAGGCCAATTAATTAATGAGTCATTTGTCAATTCCATTTGTTAATTTAGTTACGTAAATTTAGTAGCAGTAGAGCTCCTTGTGATAGAGTTTCTTTAGGGAAATACTGCCACTTTACCCATTTCTAAGCATCACCGGGTTTCGATTTTGAAGGGTTTCAACTTATATCCCAGGGTGATGGGCGCAATGGCAGTGTCCCTCAGCTCTTGGGGATTAAAGTTTCGAGCAGCACTGCAACTGTTATTGACAGGCGTGTCGCTTAAACGAGGTGCACGGTTCCTTTTTTTTTTGAGACATAAGTTGACAAGTCCCATGTGCCTGTGATTTCTCTACCCCTAACCCTTCAAAAGCGGAACACAGTAATGGCTGACATTACTGCTTAGTAGCGGAAATAGGGAAGGTTAACAGGTTCAGGGTAACAGGGAAGATGGTTTCTCCGTACCACTAGTTTGGGATCCAATATTTCTTCTAATGAAAAACCCAAAACAGACATAAGACTGCAGTACTAATTAATATGTTTTAGTTTATTCCAATTTCTATAATAATTAATAATAAATTAAACTTAATAGAAATTCATTCAATAAAATAATTTGTAAAACTTAAAGTAGCGTAAATTGGAATGTTTTCTTTGTAAAATTAAAAATAAGGTATTTAATTAATAACTATTGTAACTATAGTGAAAAAATAGAGTGGTTTGCATTAATATTAGACATAACTGGTTGAAGACTGTACCACCTCAGTCAATAGTGACCATACCATGGGACCTGTAAAGGGCCCGAAACGTCGGTTTGTTTGAAAAAACAAATATTCGCGATTTAAATCCAGAAAAATAGTTTCATTTCCTATGTGTAACAATCGCGAAAACCTAAGAACTCAAAATAACAATTATCATTTTATTCACTATAACGTAGACCTTTTTCTTTGTAACTTTTCCGTGTTATCTTTTTCTGTTTTGCATACAAAGTACGATACGAATACATAACATCCAAAGTTTCGCTTTATCAAAATTTCTAGGATCGTACAATAAGTTTTCTCTTACAAAACAACCTCAAGATAAGAAAATATGGTTATTATTACTATATAATATATTTGTGAGTAAAAAGGGAAGGAGTAAAGTAATTCTCACAGTTTTCCTTTGACCTCGACGAGGCCGGTTTTTTATTATGGTCAAATGACATATTTATGACGTTCGTACGAATTATTTACACACTTTCCAGTTGGTTTTTATGGTTCTTATAAGATACTATGTCACAAAAAAGACACTAATCCTTATAAGTAATTGACTCTTTCGATCGGCATCACAAAAATACAAGTTTTTGTTCGCATTTGGTTGGTTCGATTCCCAGAGGAGGTAAGCAACTTTAAATGTTTTTGGATAAAGGCCTCAAATCGCCTCGCTCTAGAAAAACTAAATGAAGGTAAGCCATACAAATATTTCTCCCGGCCCGAGAATCGAAGCCGGGACCTCTACGTGGCAGAAAAGCGTGGTACCCGTTCGGTCACAGAGGCAATTAAATGCAATATTATTTACTTTTAAAAATAAAATAATGGCATCAGCAATATTTAAAATACTTCCCCTTCGTATCCCCTGTGTAACTAGTCTATTTATTTACTTGGTTATCGTAATATTGCATCGCAAAAGACTTAAGAAAAGTTCTTATATAAGACAAAAATAGGGTACATTAGATTGTTGGTTCTTACGACACATTTATCGGTAACTTCCCATAAATAAAATATGACAACAGTTTGATAAAATAAATTTTCGTTTAATACATGCAAAATAAAAGTGCGAGTACCAATTTATTGTAAATATATATATATGTTTTAACTAAAACTTTTACACCCCAAAAAACTGCACATGTAGAAGATTTTTTAAACTTGCAGTAGAATTCTCAAATATAACGGCCTAAGCGCTACTTTAGAAATATATTTCTCTGCTGTAGATATAACATTCCAAAGGCTGTAGTAAAATCTATTTAACAGTTCAAAGCGTTAGAAACATACTATATACCAACCTAAAGCATTTTAAACGAAGCTAATAACTCCATCCAAACACTTTTAACTTCAAAAGCCCTCTACTAGACCTCCAGGTGTTATAAAAGCTATTTATAACTCTGCTTTACATCTATTACCCATACAATAGCTCTATGACTAGCCTTTTTATCTCTCTTAGGATTATATTTACCGTTGTACGGCTATTGTACGACTTGTGCCTGTTTAATTACTTTTGAATACGGTACTGAAGAACTTAAGTACTATAGTACATCCCTTAAACAGCTAATATACAACTTTTAGGTTGTACAGAGGTAATATAAGCAACTTGTGCGCTTGTTGGGTTCTCTTGAGATACAATCTATAACATAGTTTATATTGTATTAAGAACTTATGTACTCAAAGGCTCAGTATGAAAAATAAGGCAACTCGATTCTGTACTATTTTGTCAAACATGTGATCTATTATTATAAATATAAAGATCGAACACAAGGAATAAAACTTCGATCCGGTTGGACACGAACCAGGTACCTAGCCATACCGTGACTGACGCTTTACCAACAGAGCTACGGAACGAACCAGCGAACCTTACGAATTTCTCTGTGCTTGTTGCAGATCTTTGTTTTAGATTTAAACGACTTTTTAGCTGTAGCGAAGGTATTGTTCTCTGTGTTTGGTTTTTGGATTAATAATTATAACAAACTTGTGGAGTAATTTCACAGAAATAATTTTGAATATCATGGTAAGAAAAGTTGTGAATTTCAAAAAACTTAATAAGGTTCTATTGTTACAGATGAGAAGTGCAGTGAGAAGTGAATGCAAGTGTCGCGGGTGTTGAGTGAAAGTGTGGCGATGTGGCAGTGAGAGTGTAGTGAGTGCCAGGGCGCAGTGGTTGCGAGGGTGATAGCCGTCTGTCGCGGCCCTAGCGATGCCGCCGAGTTGACGACGGCGTCCGGCCGCGCCTCGCGCCGCACACATACGCGCTATTTAGGTAAGTTCTCAAAGTGACAAGAGTGTCCTGATTAGGTAGCCGATCATGTCACTCGCTGTGGCCCGTGGTTGCTTCAAATATACCTCATCTGAAATATGGAATGATCTACCTCCTGCCGTAAAAGCGGCAGTGTCTATAACGTTGCGGACATTCAAACGTAAATGCTCACAATGGCTATTTGACAAGCAATCAAGGGATACAGGTTTCTTATAATTTGTGCCTTGTGTGTCATTGTACTTTTAATAATTTGGAATTATAATAATATTTTGCATCTTAATTATTAGTATTCAATATGCCTATGTGTGTGCTATATGATTAATTGTATATATTTTGTGTGTTCCTGACCATTAAGGGTTATGGCAGAATATCAGCGAGAACAATGTTCTTCATTGTCCTCTGTAGCTGAGTCATAGATCAATTTGACGTGTGTTTTATTACTATGATTATTATTAATTTGCATATTCTTTTCTTTGTATTGCATGTCAAATAAACTATTTTATTGAATTTTATTTTTAAATCGCCACTGTCAAAACAATCTGAAGGGTCCCTTTCTTACACTTTGAAGTTTGAAGGTAAATACCGTCCTGAAGGCCGTAAATTGTCGGATCAGATTCGCGGAAGAGATTCTTTTGTCTGTTGGGGTTCTTCGTTTGGGTATTCTAAATATATGTATGTATCTATCTACTTGGGTTCTTATGTGTATTGTTACAAATCCTTCGTATATTTCTTTTTAATTTATACATCGTCTTACACTTTTTGTGGTTGCTCTACTATACGAGTTTATTTCTTTCGTGATTGGTTTGTCCCTATCTACTGACCCGAGAGATACAGAGTTTCGGGAGACTACGGGCTCCGCGGTAAGACCAGGGTACGGTGGGCGTCCGGGCCGAGCCTTCCGCAAGTGATACACCTTCACGAGCTTCTCTGGTGGACTCAGACTTGGGTATGGACTCGCCGGGGTTTGTGGTTAGCTGCAGGGATGAACACGTCCGTCTGCTCCAGTAGCATATGGCCGGGAGGTTCCGCGCGTAGCTAGCGCGTCTTAGTAGCGGTCTAGATGAAGGTCTAATGGCAAGGATACGTGCGGAGCACTTGAGTTGCCTTTTAAGTCCTTAGCTATGTCACGGACATTGTCGCAGGACACTGCTACTAGCACCTACGGTACTAGACCGAAGAGCTAGTAGAGGAGGAGATCCTCCGGTCCTTTCAGCCGCGTAGGAATTTGGAAACCGGACAGACGCCGGTTTGCGGCGTCGGGAAGTAAGAGTGCTTTACACCTCCGCCACCAAAGAGGAGATTTGGTAGTCGGCTTAGAGTCGACGGCTCAGCGGTGGCAACCGTTAGTCGCGCTCTCGGAAAGTGAGCATGCCTACAGCTCCGGTACCTACCTGGAAAATAGGGTGCTGTACGTGCATCCGGGGCGGCTCATTTAAGGCACTAACCTTGCAGAGAATCGGATGAAGTCTGTGCAAACGGGCTGGATCTGGGGTTAGGACACGGCTTAGATGATCCTTGCGCGGATTTTTTAGTCTTAAAGCCTCGTACTAGGAAAACCCTGTATCGCGGGTACCATAGACAACCACAAATGACACCCAGACTCATGAGAGAAGTAAATATAGGCGATACAAATATTTCTTCCGGCACAGGAATCGAACCCGGGACCTCTGCTTGGCAGTCCAGCATGATAACCGTTCGGCCACGGAGGTAGTTAAATCATGGTCAAACTTGATGTAGTAGAGTAGTTGTACTGTGATTTTTGTACATTAAGTGAATTTTGAGGTTATGCAATGTGTTAAGTTATACAGAAACTTGAGTTCTTAAACATGTTTACATTGTACGTAAATCTCGAGAAAAAAAAGTCTTAAGTACGGCTTTATCTCGTTTTATATAAATTGGGAGACGATAAATTTTGTTTAAGCTTGATCAGAAGCGGTGTGTCGTACATCAAGCGCTACTCAGATTTTAAATAAGATAATATGAAAAATAAACCAGCAACATGTACGCCAACGTATTCAAATTAATCTTGTGACTTTCGCTTTTGACGGCTGAGTTGATCTATGCCTTTCCTACTACATTTTTTTTTATTTAACAGAGTATGCGTTATAGACAAAATAGCTCTGTGTATATCATTATAATATTTTTCAACTTTTTGACAGGTGACTCTTAGTAGTGCTGTTTTCTGAAGATTCGCGTCATTCGAATTTTATTAAAACAGGTGAATACAAAAACGTCACTTCAAGTATTAACCTTATATTGAAACGGTTAAGTCCGATAACATCCAGAAAATTTACCCATTATACGGTTTAGTGCCTAGACAGCCACGCTGACCCAATGTGGTTTTGGGACTCTACACGTTTTTAAAGGGTTGTTAACATTCTTCGCTTTACAAGTTTTTTCATGTTTTTCCTTCACAATAAAGTATTCTCAAACATTCGCAAACTTCAACTGCCAGAGAAATATTTGCATGGCCTACTCTCGTGAGTTTGGGTGTAATTTGTAGTTACATATACACCGTGTAAATATCCAGGATACAGGGTTTTCGCCAATGCGGAGCTATGAGTGTTGTTATTCTAAAATATAAAAAAATGAACAGAAAAAGAACAAAAGTCAAAGCTTTTTAATGCGTCACAGAGTTTCGAACGATCGATCTTATGAAGCACTCCGTTCTTCCACCACTTCTGTAACCTTAACCGAGTGTTAACGTTATGTCTGAACATAACTCGAGGCGCAACTTTTAATTGCAGCAACGAACTGATAAGTAAGAAAGTTATTATGTTAAATAATACGTGAGAATGAAATAGGATATCAATGAAAATATTCCGTATTTCAATGAAACTTGTACAGCTCCAAAATGATCGTCAATACGGTACGAAGTTACAACAAAACAAATTCATTAGGTTGATTGGTACAAGGCCTTTCATCCCGGGAATCTCGTTCTCGACAATTTCGAAAGACTTTTGGACATTTTCGAGAACCGAGAGTGACGTTTTCGATTTCGGGAATATAGAGACTTAAAACTTAAGAGTTTATACTACCTCTGCTCGAATTCAAATTTCTCCCGTACTAATACGGTTCATTTTGCTTAGGTCGAGCGGCGGGGGCAATGGTTGGGGGGGGGGGG